AGAGCATAAGACTGACCTCAGATCTGTTTATGCATTCACAATCCATCTAAACTGTTCCTCATCAATAACTCGGTGAAATTGTTGTTTGTCTGCAAAATTACATTTTCTTCTTAACTGCATCTGATTCTGGAGTAATTCTTATTCCTCCAGCACTTCCTGTACCTCCACTACATCTAAAAGGCACTGTGAATATTAAATCCATCAAAGAGTACATTCACTTTGTATTTGTCTGCTTAAGCCAAGTGCCAGCTTATGTATAATACATATAATTTACAGTACAACGTCAGATCTCTGACCTGTGAGCCAGAACACTGTCAAAAACATAGATGAAAGGGAAAACAATCAAGTCTCAAAGGCAGATAGTGGAGATGCGGAGTCGGGGAGAGCTGAAGTGCCTTTTCCATGATGATGAAAGGGTTTTCTTGGCAGCAAAGCTTCAAAAGTCCTGTGTTCTCTAGAGAACTTCTAAAAAGCCTTTTTAAACACAGTAACTGTAAATGAGACAGGTATAAGACTGAATTATTGAGTCTTGCAGTCAAAAAAAGAAGAAAAAAAGCTCTTCTTTTATTATTTAGGAGCATTAGACTCTCAAAGAAAGGAGGGAAAAGACACTAAAGCAGGTGGTTTGGTGTAGAGCAGGTTCAGTTCGAACCTGAGCGGAACAGAAGCAGCTACTTATTACTTTAAATATACACTAACTTGGTATTGTATTGTGTTAGAAATGTGTTTTGATAACTGTGTGGATGATATGACAGAAAAAAATCAGTGTGTTTGAACATGAAGGAACACTGATGTTCTTAAACATTATAACAAACACACAATGTCACAAACTCACCAAAGGGATTAGGATTTTTTTGATAGGTGCACATAAGGATTGCTCTCCATCTAACTCCTAAATCCCTGAGAAAGGGATACGTGTGTATCAGACTGCGCTGTGTCTCTGTGATGGAGAAGTTTCCTCACATTACGATGAGTCATGCTGCATTTATAGCAAAGCTTGCTCAAGTTCATGTAAACTACTACAAGAGATAAAAGTATCGGAAAGACTTGCAGTGTTGTCAAGATGCCTTCGACATTAAAGGCGTACGATCTTCTGGGAGCAGATTGTATCTGTGTTTCATGAGCATGAGCATGAGCATGAGCATGAGCATGAGCATGAGAGAGAGAGAGAGAGAGAGAGAGAGAGAGAGAGAGAGAGAGAGAGAGAGAGAGAGAGAGAGAGAGAGAGAGAGAGAGAGAGAGAGAGAGAGAGAGAGAGAGAGAGAGAGAGAGAGAGAGAGAGAGAGAGAGAGAGAGAGAGAGAGAGAGAGAGAGAGAGAGAGAGAGAGAGAGAGAGAGAGAGAGAGAGAGAGAGAGAGGGAGTCAACCTGCTACTGTCACAAAAACAGGGCAGGCGTGTCAGGAAAAGATTAAATAATCTCACAGATTTTTTAAACGTATCTTGCAGTGGCTGGCTCCGTGTTTTTGTCCGAGCTGCTGCAGCAAACTAGGAGTATTAGTGGCAAACTAGGACTTAATGGTGAATAGTGATTTATCTGTGGTGATTCCTTAAGGGAAAAGCCGAAAGAGACAGAAGTTTGCAGCATTGAACACAGCTCTGTTTTTTTGTGAAATGCTTAGTGGCTGTTTCTCTGCCTTCGCTGACCGGTTTAAACTACGTCTAAATGGCAGACCTTTAAGCTTGGTTTATGCTTGACGCATTCACTTTCCACGCGGTGATGCGGCTCGCGGATGGAACGCGCTTCACAACTCGCAGCGTTGATGGTTCATGCGGCTCGTCTCTGCGGTGAGCCAATATTCTCCCAAACTGTAGGGGGCAGCATGGAGCTCTACGGCATGCATCCAACACTACACCGTAGTAGAAGTAGAAATTACTGTTTACATCATGCATTCCAGCATTTTTAACAGCGTCCTCGTCTTTTCCGACAGTGCGAGCTATTTCTCTCCAAGAATTATTAACAACATGTTGATCACGGTGATCTCTGAGAGCTGAATCATACAAATGTCTGTATTTACGATAGGGCTGTAGCGAAGCCTCGACGAAGTCGACGGCTCGATTCTAAAAATTTGTCGACGTCAGATCCGGAAGTCGACGCACCGCGCCCACTTGTTGCATCCCCAGGAGTTTGTAAATAGAGGAGGAATCTGCCTGTTTTTCCTCTAGTTCGCCCTCTTCTCCGCCTTCACTAACATCTCCACCAAATACCGAAGACCCGGAACAACGTCCGTCCACTACTAGATTATTTTCCTGTTTTGCCCGCCTTCGTCTCCCGGCAACGGACAACAACTTCCGGGGTCAGATGCGCTGCTTCGTGTCTATCGCAGATGTAGAAAATCACCGGGAGCGCTTCTCCCTTCATTAAGGAGCTTCTTTCAGACATGAGGAGAGCTGTTTTGGTGGTAGCAGTCTCTCCTCCATGCTGGTCTGTTTGCTGCTGGGTGTTTTTGGTTTATTTAAACTTGGTAACTTTAACTTAATGTTGGTAAAGCTACTGTTAGCATCTTCGCTAACAGCTTCTTGCGTTGGGATAAGCCGTTACGTTTTGGTTTAGAGTTAATCTTTTTTGTGGTGTAGATCTCCCTTTTATTACATTTAGAGTGTTGTGGGTTTTCGGTTTAGTTTAAAATATCACCTGAGTTTGGTTTAACCCGTAAGACCACTCGCCTCACGCACATAAGTGACCAAAACAAAGCAGCATGGAGACACTCCATCTTCTACCACCTCTCAGGCAGCAGCCTGCACTCCCAAGTTCTTCATGTCACCAGAACATAACCAACCAACACAATAAAAGCAGTGTTATACAAAATGGAAGGCCTGTAGTGTTTATTCTCTTACAGTAAGAATTTATCAATTTTTTGAGGAATTTATTTGAGATTTTCTGGTTTTTGTTAATTGTGCAATAGAAAAATAATCATTAGATTAATTTTCTAAATAGTCATTAGAATAGTCGACTATTCGATAAAATAATCGTCAGAATAATCGTTTTAAAAATAATCGTTTACCCCCAGCCCTAATTTACGAACCTCTGCCATACTAGCTCTTGCCGGTCCGCCATGTTTTTCCGCGTCCGTCCGTCCGCGTGGTTAGAAATTTTCCGAGGTGCGCGTTGCGGAAATTTTGAGCCGTGCGGAGGCGCGGTGGAGGGGCGTGGTTGTTAAAATGACGCAATTTCGCCGCGCGGAGCCGTGCGAACCTCGCGGACGCGTCAAGCATAAACCAAGCTTTACACTCTCCTGAGGTGACACATCAGCTCTGCATTAGCGTGTTAGCTAACAGCTACATGTTTCATGTCTGAACCCCCCCCCCCCCCCCCGCATAAAATGTGTCGATGTTGTTTTGTTTTGTTTGTCCAAGAAAAAAAGTGACTGATGAAGTGGAAATTAAAACTAAGCCATTTACCCCTACTGCACACTGGAAGCATTGGCGGCACAGAATGGCAGCGGAAAGCTTTACGCGCAACAATCGCTGCACTCCAGTGCACCCCTGGTGGGTCTCTGCTGTGCGCCTCGCTCGACTCGCAAGATCACAAAATCCCTCGATTTTATGCTGTCCGCCATTCAATCCAAGAGAAGGAAGTCACATTTGATATCGCTGTTTGATGTCAAATATGGTGTTGCTCCTCTCCACTGCCAGGATAAAGCCATGAAAAACACACTGTTGTACTTCTTGAAAGGTGCAGCGAGTAAATAAGCCGTTAGGTCATTTGTATTGACGTAATCTACATAGATATGAAATAACATCGCTGCAATAGACTTTTATTTTAAAAATTACCGGGGATTTAACACTGAAACTATGTGTGATTTCCTGTCTAGCCATATGTTAACTACAGATATTGTCTTGTCCCAGAAGCGGCTCGCAGCAAATATAGAACCCAATCTAGCGGTGTGGCGAGCCGCTTCTGGGAAAAATAGCCGTGTCGGCCATTTTGAATCACCCCCATAGACTCTAATGGATTCTATTTGAAGCAGTGACGTTCTGCTAGCGTTCCATGACGCTGATGCTTCCAGTGTGCAGTAGGCTTTATACCGTTAGTCATGTTTAATGTGAGTGTCTAAGTCTAATCTCAGGATGAATTTAAAAGGTCATATTTACTGTTTTATAAGGTTATATCCGATCATTTCCCCCCAATTCTGATCATTTGAAAATCACGTGACCAGGTACGATTTCCAATCATGTAATCGGATCAGAGCATCCCTAGACTTTATTTTTTTTTTTTATTAACTAGGATTAAAGGGAAAATAACAACCAGGAGCATGTTTACGTTGTGGCGAACCCTAACCCTAACCCATTATAATAAACATTTAATAAGGGGGCAGAAGGAGGCGAGTCACAGCAGGAGAACTTTCATCATCAGGATTTGGCACAGTCTCTGAGCTCCAGCTGGAATGTGTCAAAATAAAAGACCTGGCCTTCCTGTCCGGTCATAAACATGAAGGATGAAGAAGAGGAGCAGATGGGCCGCCCTGTCAGAACCATCTCCCTTTCCCTTTTATTACTCTGAATGTCTCCTGGTGCGTCTGCTCCCATCACTGTGCTCTGCTTCAACTCTCTGCCTCCATCTTTCTACATCACACACACACACACACACACACACACACACACACACACACACACACACACACACACACACACACACACACACACACACACACACACACACACACACACACACACACACACACACACATAACAGAGATGCACACACAGCCTCCCTGACTGAAGCGCGTCCTACTGGATGGAGGTCTGTTGTGTACGGTACAGTCATCTGTTAATGAGTCACAAACTGTCGCTCAGCACCGTGCTGCCAGCGTGTTCCCCTGCAGGAGCTCAATGTGTCTTCACTTGGGAGAAGACTGAGGGGACAACATTAACACACACTGAGCCAGCTCTGGGCATGGAATTTCATAAGGTGTGTGTGTCAGGACTCTAAATGAAAGAATCATGCATGATGAAAGCATGGATGAATTTCTGTTTAAACAGATGGATATCCAACACTTACGTCACTTGGTGTACCCCCCTGAGCACTCCAGCTCCTCTTCAGCATGACGGATGCTCAAGGAGACTTTATTAGTCCAATCGCCTCTGTAAGGCTGCTCCTTCCTGCTCTAGGCAGCTTCACCAGTACCACTGCAGAGAGGTGCAACAGGATGGACATTATTAAAATAAGTTATTTATTAACAAACTTTCAGTAAAAACATATTTCTGGGGAAAATATAAAAGTTTAAATAAAAAAAGGGGGGGGGGGGAGAAAAACGAATGAGAAAAGGAAATACGAAGTCAGGAGAGGCAGAGATAAGGCTGAAGGAGAGATGCTAGATCTAACCTTATTGACTTTGTCCACAAAGAAAGACAGAAAGTTCTCACAGTCTGCAACAGAGTGGATGGAGGCTGTAGGAGAGGCAGGAGAGACGATGCTGCTGATGGTGTTAAACAGCACCTTCAGATTCTCTGGGCCACCAGGTTGGACAAATAGGAAACCCTCGCGTCTCTGACTGCAGAGTTAAAGGATGTCAGAAGATCCTTTAGGTGCAGCAGATGGACGTGAAGATGGGTTTTCTTCCACAAACGCTCAATTTTTCTGCATTGGCGCGTTAAGCTGCGAAGGCTGTCATTAAACCAGGGTGTAGGGTTCACTGCAGGAACTGATCTGGTTCTGACAGGACAGATGTTGTCCAGAATGGAGAGGCGGTGCTCGTTAAAATACGTTGTAAAGTAGTTAAAGAATCAGGGTTGATTTCTGAGGATAAAAGTGGAATAAAAGTGGCAGAAAATTTGCTAGCTGTGCTCTCATTAAACAATGAGAACTAACCAAGCGGCAGGCAGGAGGTGGGGACGCAGGAACTGAGGAAGATAAAGAAAATACAATGGTGATCTGAAATATAAACGTCCTCAGGACAAACACTGGCAGCATTTAGACATGGGGTAAAAACAAGGTCCTGAGTGTGCCCCCTGGTGTGTGTGCTGGGAAAAGCTGAAGGGAGTCCATGAGGCTGGAGAAGCTCCTGGCAAAGTGGTGTGAGGCATCATCAACGTGAATGTTAAAATCCCCAACGATCACCAGCCTGGACAGCTTCACAGTGGAGGATAGAAAAAACGGCTTGGCACAATGGCTTCTAGAGCTCCACAGTCCTTCTCAGATAACACACATTGGTTTGCCGTTCACATCTCCATCACATAACTTAACTTGATTCTACTCTGCTCTACAGGGTAAGGGATTTTTTTCCATTACAACTGAGAAACGGCTCTAGTGGATGGGCTTGTCATAGCAGAGTGGCGCTGTGAGTTCAAATGGTAGTGTGAGGGGTTTCGTCTGTGACCAAAACACAACACTGTCTGTGGTTTAATGTCAGACAACAGAGACCTGAAAAACCCATCCGCCAGCCAATCAGGGACCATCAGTCTCTGTTTTGTTTTAGGCCTGGCTTGGTATACCTAGAACATCAAAGCTGGTTCTTAAAAAGGGATGGCAACCCGGGACGTGTTACTAGTGGAAATCCATTGAAACCAAGCTGAACCTATTTGAGCCATGCTGAGTAGGTACTGGTGGAAAAGGTTAATTAGAAAAACAACTCTAAAATAAACTTTTTTTACACTTTTTGTTGTTAATTTTTTCAACTCATTCACTGCCAGCCGTTTCCTGATCAGAAAAGCCCTTCGCTGCCAGCGTTTTTGAAAGTTTTTACAGTTTTTTTAAGAGACACAGAAAGTTGCACGTTAGGATGATGTCAACGCCAAAACTACCAGAACAAAGAGTAGACTCATTTCTTACATCAGAAAGAATCCATGCGTTTCGAGCTTTATCCGTTCTTTCATAATCCGTTGCCGAATTGTGATCGGCAGAAGCTTTTCCGGTTCGCGCCTCACTTTTTTTTTACATCAGCGGCCCAAAACGACCTCCTAACACGTGGGTTTTCTGCTTCCTGATCAGGTGACGTACGCCGATGAAGATCGGCTTTAGAGCTGGGATGTTTGTTCTCAAGGTGCGGGGGCTCGTTTCGACGCCCACACAGTAACAAAATGCAAATGATGACTTTAGTCGTCATTGGCAGTGGATGAGTTAACATTAATAAGAAAAGAAAAGCAACAAAATAGAGTATATGGTACAGACATGACATTCAAATCCAAATAAATTCAGGAGCCAATTAACAAATCAGGTTCAGGGCTTCCAGATAGGCCAACAAAAGTCCCGTCTTGCACAGTTCAATCCTTTTGTAAGTTCAATGGTGACTAGGATTGTCACGGTAACCGGTGTAGCGGTAAACCATGGTAAAAAAGTTGACAAGAATAATAACCGTCTTGTTTTTTAAAACATATATCATCTCGGTGGATTACCATGGCTGCGGTGTAGGTGCGGTGACCCTTACCAGCCACCGTATCATCTGCTGAAGTTGCCGGCGGCACATGCACACTTTGTTGTTTACAACCAAAACTTTCTTGAAGCTAAAGCTGAAATAATGGCCAAAGGAGGAGACGGCAGCGCTCAGGACATTTATTATCCCTCAAAGAAGACAAAGTGGGAAGTACGGGCATCTTTTGGATATTTGAAGAATGCCGAGGGACAGTTGATAGAAGACGGCTATCCTGTTTGCAGCACGTGCAGAAAAAGTGTCTGTGAAAGGCAGCAACGCTTCAAATCTCATGACACATCTGCGTGATCATCACCCACAACTCTACAGTCAACGCAAGGCAAACTAACGTTAGCGTTTTAGCTAAAATGCGTGATCCGAGGATTTGGGTTGAGGGAGAATGCAAAGAGTGGCTATATAAAGCAGCCGCAGCGCCGCTACCTGCATATAAACCGTGTCGCGGACACCGCCATGTTGAAATGACGCTATGCATTACGGGGCTCCCAGGGGCCGATAAGAGTTGGTCTCTCTCCGAGAATAATTATGAATTTAACAACGATTACTGCCTGATGACATTTTCCCACATCTGCAAAGCTCACTGGAAGGACACAAACCGAGGACAATATTTTCCTGATATAGGGTTTATTACTCAAGTAAGGGTAAAAAAGTATCTGATTAGAAGGCTACTTGAGTACTGAGTATCACCTGATCTAATATTTTTAAAATGATGACATCAAACAGACAAAAAATAAGAAGTTATGGGCAAATATTGGTATTTTAAAGACTAAAGGGGAAAAATGTAAACAAATAAACAACATAATTACAAAATAACACATTTTAGGATAAATTTAGACACAAACTGAGGACAACATTTTCCTGATATACAGGGTTTATTTAGTTGTCAGAAAATGTAACACGTTTAAAAAAAAACGCGATAATACCGAAAACCCGAATAATGTTGGTCACAATAACCGTGAGGTTACATTTTCACACCGTGACAACCCTAATGGTGACATGTGTTTTTAGTTCATTTTATAGCGTCCAAAAACAATAAAGAGTGTAACCAAATGTGAAAAGGCCTTCAGAGAGCCTCCATCCTGCAGGTAGTGGAAGTTGAGGAATTCTTTACAAGATTCACACAGGCGAGAGAGGTGTCACCACGTCATGGTGTTTAAATAAAGCAGCTTGTGTGTAATATGCATCACAGGACCATAACATGTTTAGTTAGTTCACGTGTTTTCGTTCTTCTCCCATGAATGGAAATAATTTAGACTCAAGACAGGGACAGCAACGCATTTGTCCCGCTGTGTCTTCTATTTCCCGTCAGGATAGAGGAATATTTAACCCAACAGAGCGAGCCGGTCTGATTAGCAAAGTTAGGAAGCGAACACACTAATGGCATCATGAAACTAAGTTCTCTGACTTTTCCTTTAATGAAGACTACTTTAAACCAGTTCTAAAACGGAGTCAGTAAGAACGTAGAGCTGCCATTAAACATGCCTGTATTTGGGGTGTAAAGCACACACTAATGAAGTGCTTCAGTAATAAAAGAGCTGCATCTCTGAACTCATCAGTAACAGAACCACAGAAGGTGGAAAATAACCTCGAGGCAGAAAAATCAATGGGACAGAATCACGTCAATACTTCCTGCGTCAGTATCGACCTGCTCTGTGACCCACCCACATTAGTCCATTTGGCCGGCGCCGTGTCTATGTGCTGGGCCACTGGTTACACTGATGCTGCTGCTGTTCAGCTACTAAACATCATTTCCCAGAAGCTCTCTGTGCCACCGCCCCCACCCCCTCATCTACTCAGTCGACTTGTTTCCCCTAAACTTGGAGCAAGGCCACATGACGTCATTGCACAAGTTGTTTTATTCTCTGAGCCTGCATTAGAGGGGAGCACCACTCTGGTCTGCACAGAAACGCAAAAAGCTCTTTTAAACGGCTGCTTGGCTCTTAATTAAAGCGGGAAAGACTAAAGTAGCTACAGAGGTCAGGAAACTTTCATTTAGTGGTTATTGTGTAATAAAATCAGCGTTCCTCCACCGCATGATTGTGTATTGATTCACTTTGTGTGCACTAGCAGGAGCTGCAAGTAGCTCTACAGAAAGATGTTTCACTATAAAGAGAGAAAGAGAGCGTGTGTGTGCGTGCGCGCGTGGCGGGGGGTTAACACAACACACCGAAATTGTATAAAAAATTGAATCAGCTAAAAAATAAAGTTAGTCTACGAGCTTTTGAGTAAATGTCAAATGATCATTGAAACCAAATAACACGCAGGTCATTTGAAGCACTGGACGAGGAGCAGGAAATCCGATCTAATGCTGCGTATTTCCAGGAGAAATAAATAAGATCCTACAGAATTCCAAGAGCGAATAATTAAGAAGAAAAATGTACCTAAAAACTAAAGTTCAGCTGTTACATTTGTAATGTGCAGCAAAGGGAATTCACCAAGAATCACTGAAATTTGAATATTATAGAGATTTTTACATGTATTTATGATACGCTTTTATCTAAAGTTTGTCGTCACTGATGGGTGGGTTGGTTAGGACAGAGTCTGAAACAAGGACAAGAGGTTAAATGTCTTTTACAGTCCCAAGTCTTCCAGGGTAAGTGGTGTTTTCCGAGGAAGTGTGTGTCCCCGTCTCTAGATGCTGATTTTAGGAACTGGCCTTAAACCTCTCAGGCTCAAAATAAGTTTTGATAAAAGGACGAACAACTAAGTCCTTCAGGGGTACGTCTGAGTTAAAGAAATACTCATGAAATACGAATGTGGAGT